TCTGAAATATGGATGTACAAACCAATAAATCTACTAATAAAAGGTCATGTGTTTTAAGGGTTGTCCCTCTTTATGAGAAAAAATCCTAATGAAAATTGTCATCTGCTATAACATGTGTTTGGTGGTCAATCTGCTGTCAATAAATTGATTAACACATCAGAAAAACAAGACCCTGTGGTTAGGAAATGCTTGTATACAACATTTTATGCTATAAGTAATATTTGTTTCAAATCAGATTAACTTAATGTTAAATTTGCTAATTTTCCTCAAATAACGTTTCAGAAATATTTTATTTTTGCAAGAGTTTTAAAACGGAAAAATTAAGTTTTGTTTACAAATATATAAAAAATAGCTGACGTAATTGATTTTACTAAAGAAAAACTGCAACTCTATTCCAATTAATATAATTTCTGTCTGAAATAAACTTACTGGATATAGTAAATTTAATCCTTTAGCTTTCATTTGAAGCTAAATTAAAATCTTCAGGAAAGATTTTTCATTTTAAAAAATTCATTTTAAAACTTACATATACTGAATTCATGGAAGTACCTATATGATATCTTTTACGACATTATTTATAAACACACAAACACACACATGCCATCAGTTCTATATAAAAGAAGCAAAGTATCTAGTTACTAGAATTTTGAGCAGTTAATGCTACAAGTGAATTTTAAATAACATTCAAGACATTGACTTCCAGTACATATATCATATATATTAAAATGTATGCATACATATAGACACATGTACACACATTCACACACATTGCATTCTTTCTTTCTTGCTTGCTTTTTTTTCATTCTATGCAAAGGAATGCTGGAAAAGTATTGGTGTCATCTGATGTTTGGTCATCTGTTCAGATTTTGTGAAATGTCTCAGGCCAAGACATTTCCAGAAGCTCTTATTGTTTTTAATTTCTTATATATATGGGAAAAAGGTGTTTAATATTGGGGATAAAGCAGCTGTAGATTTGTAGATATATACAGTGTGGGCATAGAAAGCAACATTGCATGTTAATTGGCAATTTAACTACTTAAATGATGATCAAGCATTTCATAGCCCATACTGTTTCTATCTATCTATCTATCTATCTATCTATCTATCTATCTATCTATCTATTAAGTTTCAAATAAATGGGTTGGTTGGAATAAAAATGGGTGACTGTAATTCAGTCAGTTATGTGCCATATGTGATACACACTTAGGCAATCATGTATCTTTTGATACATGACTGACGTGGCAGATTTTTCCTGCAGTAGGTTGCCATTTCTTTCTGTGGTAGACCAGTTGTCATCCAAGGCTATAGAACCAGGTCTTTCCTGCTATTTACCCATAGCTGGGGGAAGAAGAAGAGGATTCATACCTTTCCCAAGGGTATTAGTATGCTAGTGAATGTAATGGATTCACCTGGAATTTGAACTTGGCTCTCTGATTTCTCAATCTGAGCCACTGTCCTTTACGCCACCATGCCTGTAATTAATGAAACTCTTTATCCAAGAATATTCATAGCCTAAATTAAGGGATGGGAGAAATTTTTTTGAATATTTCATAAAAGGAGACGTTAGAATAAAGATTGTCACAGGTGGATTTTTATTCAAAAAGAGTAATCATCCCTGACTCTATTTGAAACTCAAATGTATGCATGTATGTATGTATGTATGTATGTATGTATGTATGTATGTATGTATGTATGTATGTATCAGGAGATAGCTAGATAGAGATAAACAGATATAGAACAATGAGCCTCTAAGGTTTAGATAATTGCATTTAATCTTGTTGTTTGTTAAATTAATCTGGATGTAATAACATGACAAGATATGAGTGAATATACATAAAACATTTTTAATATTTTCTTAACAAATTTAAAAGAATTCAGTTACAGTTTGAGAAAATACTTGATGATTTAACTTGAATTATAGATATGAGATATCAGTATAGAAATGATAGAACAATGTGCAATTGTAAAAATTTCCATAAATATTTTTATTCTTGTCCCCAGTAGAATATTTTAAAACTGTAATTCATAGTCACTATAATACTTAATATTAAGAAACAGTCAATTGAAAGAAGAGAGAATACATGGTTACAAATTGGAAATACTAAAATCAACCAAGTAAAACAATTTAAATATTTGGGGGATGTCTTAACAGAGGATGGAGAGTGCAGCATCAAAATGCAAACATACACTGGGATAGCAAAAGATGCTTTCCAAAAGTTAGGTAGTGTATTAAGAAACAGGAAAATTTTATTAGAAAAAAAAAAAGTACTGAACTGTTATGTAAATATCAGTTTTCCTATATCACAGCGTATGCTAGATAATCTCCTCATAAATTAAGAAAAACTTGAAGCAACATAAATGGGTTCTACAGAAGGAAGCTGAGAATACCATAGACCAAACATGTGAGCAATGATGAAGGTTTTAGAAAAAATGGAAACAAAAAGAACACTTATACTTAACATCAGAAATAGATACATGAAATTTCTAGGACACATAATGAGGATAGAGGGCTTGGAAAATTTGATACTCACAGAATATATCGAAAGCAAGGTGGATAGAGGTAAACAATATATAACCTAACTAGTGAGCTTGCATAAATGGATTCGTAGAACAGGGTTCAAGGGAGATAACAAAAAGATAAAATTTATTAATAGCTATAAAGAACAGGACAGGAAATTGTGGAGAGCAATGATCACCAATGCCCTGCAAGGCCAAGTCTCATAGAAGAAGTATATCTAGAGGTTAAACTTCTTTTCTTTCTATATACAGTGTCCTTTCAGGACATAGGTGATCATGGCTCTCCACCTCCTCCTATCTCTTGCAGCTCTCTTCCCCCTCCTCCAGACCATGTTCTGTTATCCACTTCCTTAAAGCTGCTAGGTATGTCATGCATTGTTTTCCCTTGTCTCTATTTGACCTGTGAATATCAGCTTCTCCAGGCCCTCCTTCCTCATTATATGTCCCAGAAACTTCAGCTACTTCTTCCTGATGTTAAGTATAAACCTTGTTTGAATTCTATCTAAGACTTCATCGTTGCTCACACACTCGGTCCATGATATCCTTAGCATCCTTCTGTAGAACCACATCTCTGTCACCTCAGGTCCCTTCTTCATCTTTGAGGAAATTGTCCAACATTCGCTGCCATAAAGAAGGACAGATGTCATGTAACAGCTCAGTATTCTTTTCTTTGTTACCAAAGAAATCCACCTGTCTCACAATATTCTGCCCAGCTTTTGGAATGCATCCTTGGCAATCCCAATATGTCTATGGATTGCAGTATCACATTTACTGTCCTCTGTCAGGCAGCTTCCCAGATATTTAAACTTCTGCGTCTGCTTGATTCTAGTGTTCCCGACCTGCAAATCACATTTCGGGCTCATTCTTTTACTGATGACCATGCGTTCTGTTTTCTTGCAGTTTATGCTTAGTCCCTTCTTCACACTCTCTGAATTTTTTTCAGTTTATCCCTCCTCTCTCAAGTAGGTAATTTACATCTGCCATTCAAATGTTTCACACTGCATATCATGTCTTGAAGGGACACAGTACATAGAAGTAGAATGTTTCATGCCTTCCAGAAACTAAACAAAATATTAAGAAACAGTAAAATTTCATTAGAAAAAAATCTTCTATATAATATCATTCCTTCTATATGGTAATAAATACTGGATAATTTCCTCTCAGATGAAGAGCAAATGTAAAAGGTCTGTGATGTGTTTCTACAGAAAGATGCTGAGAATACCGAGGACAGAATATTTGGGCAATGAGGAAGTTTTAAGATAAACAAAGACAAAAAGGATGTTTATACTTAAAATCAGAAAGAGAGGGCTGAAATTTCTTGGACATATAATGAAGAAAGAGGGCTTTGAGAATTTAACATGCACTGGAAAATAGTGAGTAACCTATTTAATGAGTTTGTGTAAAAGGGTGGATGAGTGAGAACTGGGTGAGATGGTGAGGAGACAAACATCATTTTGTTTTCTGGTATGATTTTTATCTAGTTTTTTTTGCTTGTATTTTTTCTCTCTTTGACTATTTATCCCAAGTCACTGTAAGCATCGTTAAATTGTTCAGTTTTTCTATATCTCAAAATAACTTTTAATTTCTTATTTTCCTCAGTTGTAGTATGATATTAAATACAATTGAGACTTTTACTCTTTAGGATCATGGCTCTCCACAACTTCCTGTCCTTTGTAGTTCTAAGTAATGTTTGTCTCTTGATTACCCTTCCCAGTCCATGTGCTGCCATACATTTTGATATAATGGAATATACATACACCTGTGTTTCCCCTCACTGGAATATGATTGGCTGGTGTCCATCATAAATGCCGACGGATGTGTAGATATGACAGAGTCAAGAGCCTTAGTCTGAGAGCTAAGTCTATAATGACGCCCATTGGACTATGCCATTGATCTACACTTCTTACCTGCGACTACAATGCGTACCAGTTGATTACTGCTACCATATTCTACTTGGTTATAGTAGCCAAAACCACTTAGCTACTTCGTTCAAATATATCCCTTTTTGGGACATATCACATTTACACACGATTTTGGGTAGGTTTCTCACTACTTCTGCTTCTTTTACCTTCAATATGTCCTGTGAGTGTCCAGGCCCTCTTCTCTCATTATGTCCCAGAAATTTCAACTGCCTCTTTCATATACTAAATCTGTGTCCTTTTTGTTCTTGATATCAACACATATAGAAGGCTGTTAATCCAGTTATTTTATAGCAAATAAATTAATCAAAGTAACGACACAAAACAATTTTTGAAACAGCTAAACATTCTGGCTTCATGAAATCTATCTCAATCAAATTAAATTTAATCAGTTTTCTAAGGTGTAAATTCTCTCAAGGTGAAACAGAAGAAAAAGTATGGAATCAAGAATATAAGTACTTGACAGCTTGAATTCTTTTAGGCATAGTTTTCTCCACTGAAAAACAATATTCACCTGCAAACTGGTTCCAACTTTCTTGAATAACTGAATAGATCAGCTTTGCTTACAGCCATATCACAGTGAAACACCTGTTCTCATCCAATCACCAAAGTTAAGCAATGCCAATTCTGGTCAGTACCTAAATGGGTGACTGCTTGGGAATACCAGATGCTGTAAACTTGGATGTACAAGGGGCATAATACATAATGGCTTCGAATGAGAAATTGGAGAACTGAGTTCCAATTCCAGTCAAGTTTGTTACACTCACTTACATACAAATATTCTTAGGAAAGATATGAATCCATCTCTTCTTCCCCAAGCTATGGATTAAATAGCAGAACAGACTGAGTCCTAATACATTGGTTGGCAACCATTCTACTGCAGAAAATAACAGCAGCCTATTATGAGAATTCTTCTGCTAAATAAATCATGAAACCAAAAGAGAATATGATTGTTCAAGTAAGCATCATGTATGACATCTAAGGAAGGAAGATTAGCTTTGCAGCTCAGATCCTTGTCATGAACCATATTTTAAAATTTCCGCAATACATTTTTGATCAGATTGAGATTCTAACTGTTTATAGGCCATGTCACTGAGCTGATATGCATTTCCTGACTTTAACACTTTTTGCTCTGTGGCAAGATGCATTATCATCCTGATGTCATCATTATCAAATATATTTTCTATTGCTCGAATGAGATATGTCCAAAAGTTCAGTATACACTTGTGCATTGTCTGTCGAAGTAACAACTGCAACATTCCTTGATTTCTTCACAATAGAACACTTTATCATAAAATGCTGTCAGAGAATGTCCAGTTATTAAACATTGTTTTATGTCATATCTGTTATTTATTTATTTACTGCAAGGTAAAATAACTGGGCAAACATTCTCGAAGTGTGGTGATTGCATAATTTTTGCTAGGGGTCTTATGAACAATGCTGATTTTATCATCATTTTATGATGTCGTTTAGACAACTCTTTGATCTTCCTTGTAACGCATTTGATTCCTTTTTAGTTTTTACTGCTATCAAACTTTTTTGTTTACAATTCTTAAGATTTTCAACAGAAGCTTCAAGGAGAATTTCTTTCGTGTTTCATTTTTAATTTGTTAATCATGACACTGGCTAATAAAATTTGCATACTATTGTTTTATGTAATAAAATCTTTCCATATAAAAAGCCAGTATCCATTGCTTTGTAATGTACAAAAGATGTCAGAATGTTTTTTCTTTTTCTATATGTAATGAAAATCTGCTTCAAGCATGATGAGACAGTTGATGTATAAATGAACAAAAATGAAAAAAAAAAGTCATGTTATTAACATTTCCTCATTCCTATATATCCAGATATGGGTTGAATAGCAGGACAGATTGGGTCTTTTACCTTGGGTGACAATCAGTTTACTGCAGAAAGAAATGGCAACCTACCATAGGAAAATCTTCTGCCTAGTCAGTCATGAATCAAAAGAGACATGACCACCCAAGTGTGTATCACATATAGCTATTCACATATGACTAAAACCCACTTCCATTTATTATCATCTCATGGGACATTTGAAGTCAGGATGACCAAAATTGACTAAACATGTCATGTTATGTCTTTATCTTCCTTTACTCATAAATGATTAAATGTTGTGTAAATTTATCACCATCTCAGGGTATGAGCAGGGATGACCAAAAATGACAAAACCTGAGTGTAAGAATCTAATCCCAGTATTAAAACACCATCATATAACAGTCAATACTTTCATATATAATGCTTTTTAATCTTACTGCAAGTGAGATGAAAATAATTCTTAGATATATTTTGTAGTAAATTTGTAGCTGTTGAACTTCAAAATTCAGTAGAAAAAAGGTTTTCAATCAGATAAATATGAAATGGCCTTAGGGAATAATTGTTCTTTCTTAAGAGCTTATGTTTCTATAATCTTTGATAAATATGGCAAATTTTTCTCACATCAAAAATAAGTGGTTGTTAGTCATAAAGTAACAAAAAATGCAAATAGAAAGAATGGGTACTTAATATTTTTGAGCTGAAGATTCATCTGCTTCAAAAGTAAGAAGTAAAAACATTAATTGTTTTATAACTTGACAAGATAAAACTATGGAATAGGAGAAACCATTTAAAGTGAATCCTTAAAAGCAAACTTGGAAAAGATTAGAATGTTCTGGGTATGTTTGTAAAAAACAGAAAAAGTCATGAAGCAAAAAGGGAAAATGAAAATTGTAGGGCTGATGAAAAGTACAGTTCTTTTGAGTGCTTTGAGCTGGTGAGAAAGAAATGAAAGAAAAAAAAACAGAAGAGTCTTGATTTGGTCAGTCAAAAATAAAAACAAAATATTTTAACTTACTCTTTCTCTGTAATTTTCTCTTATCTTTTCATTTCTTTCTTTCTGTTTGAGTGTATTCTTTTTTCCTTTTACTATTTTTTCATTCTATATTCTCATTCTATTTATATTTCATTTTGCTCTTTCTTATTATTACATTCATTGGTTTTTCCTTTTTTTACACTTTCTTTTTTATTGTATTCTCTCTCTTTTTCTTTTGATTGAATTTCTTTCTTTTTTCTCATTTTCTCTTTCTTTCTCTGTTTATTTCTTTCATAATTTCTATTGTCTTTTTCTGTAGAGCATGCTCATGTCTGTATAATGTTGCCAAGAATACAGCTTAATTTTTTTCTTTTCGCACAACAATCAGTTATTAGCAAGATTTCTAAACAGTTCAGCCATTGTTTTTCTCTTGAGGCATCAAGCTGCTTAAGTGTACCCAGAACCCTGAAACCATTTCAGATTGTCGGCCATTGCAATACTTTTAGATATCCTCTGGTGTTTGGCTTTACTTTTTTGCTACACTTCTTTCGGAGTAGTTCCTCTAAGCTTTGAACAATTATTCACTAGGTCTCCAGAAATCTTTTACTAACTTGCAACAACAAAAAAGACTTGAACAAGACATTTTTCTTCTGAGATTGTCACACTGTAGAGAAGCTGTTAAAAATGTTTGGATTCACACTTTGTACAAATGCTCATAAATGCTTTAATAATGACTTCATTAAAGGCTTGAAGTTTCAAAGGATAGTAAATTGTGAAGAATCATGATCACCAATGTTCTGAAAGGACATGGCACATAGAGGAAGATGAATCATTAATAAATAATTAAATAAGGAGAGACGACTCTCTAATTTGTCAAACTCCAACTACATTTGAAATTAAAGTTAACTTTACTTGTACTTCTGCTAAATGCTAATTAGCAGATGTCTTGTATTACATGTTTTTGTAGTCTTGGGTATGACTAGAAACTACATTCAGCAGCAAGGCCTCTCTGACTGGGACATTGGTGGTTTTGAGGAGTGTAGAACCACCTCTTAACTGCTGTTGTTATCAGGTTCAACCTGACCCAGGGTGGTAGCACCTGTTTCATTCCCAACTATGGGCAAATGGTTAATCCCCAAACTGTGGTGAAAACACTATGAAAGTATAAAAATACATTTTTATAGTAAAAATACTAGCAATACATTTTTCATAATAAAAAATACCAGCAATATATTAAAAAAATATTACCAGCAATACATTTTTGTAAAAGAAATTAATGCTCCCAAGAAAATTAAATAACCCATAAGGAGTTGATATGTTGCTAACCAACCAAACAAACAAACAAACAAACATAATTTTTGAACATAGATGCTTATAATTTATAAAAACTGATTTTTATAATAATACTTGGAAATGTTTATGATAGAAAAGGAAAAGAAATGAAAAGTTTAATAAGTCTAGAATAAAATAATAATAATGCTAATATTAACCATTTCCTAATAAGGAAACATTTGGCATTCATTGACCAAGCAGCCAGTACTCCTTTCGGTTGAAATTTATGAAATCTTTTTCTTAAATAATTTTTCAGGAAAACAGGTTTTTCAAGTTCGGTAGCTGTTATCACTCTTTCCAGTATTGACGGGAGTTTCCTTCTTAACCTTTTGTTTGAATTAGTGTGGAATACCAACATCTTCATTATGTCATTATTATCTCTTTGAGTTATGTGGGATATCCATTTTGGTTGTTGATAGTCCTCAAGTGATATGGTTTCTGGTATTTCGTACAGTTCTTTGTGTTTCTGTATCACCAGTCCACAATGCTAAATGTAGGATAATCTTTGCCAAGACCCTCAGGCTTCACTCACTCAATGAAAATGTATTTCTATCATAAAATTGTTAACAGGGTATTACCATTGGAAATTTTCAATGTTTTTCTGTAGTAAAACCATTAGCAATGCATTAGATCAGTGGTTCTCAACCGGGGTCTACATGGACCCTAAGGGTCCATGTAATATTTCCGGGGGTCCACAGGCAAAACACAATTGTTGTGTTAATTAAAAATAGTAATAATAATTATTATTATAATTATAGTAGAATATTTTATTTGTATTAAATTAGTTTTCATTTAAAAATAAAGCTTAATCGTATACTATTTCTTTGATAATTAAAACCTTAAAATTTATATTAGTGAAGAATAGAAAATTGTTCTTATGTCCAATAGCTATGAAGGGGTCCACCAAGATAAAAAGAAGGGGAAAGGGGTCCATGGGTAAAAAAAGGTTGAGAACCACTGCATTAGATTATGAAAGTCCTATTGGATTAGTTTTTCTTTTTAAATGCCATGCATCTGTTTCCTTTTCTTTATTATCTCTGAATTACCACAACATCTTGGGAAAGATAGTAGAGAGGTTTTCTGTTACCTTCCCTATAGTAAATTAAATTTTAAAGGATATTCTCTACTTCACTACCCAGATGTGTGAGTGGTGTAATGGAGAATGGTTCAGAATGAGAAATTGGATAGCCAAGTTCAAATTCCAATCAGGTTTGTTACATTCACTTAGGTACAATTACCCTTGAGAAAGGTACAAATCTATATCTCCCCCAAGATATGGATTAAATATCATTGTTATCTCCAAAAACATTGTTAATGCAATATTCACTTGTAAAAAAAAAAAATTATTCTTACAATCTAAAATATATTTTGGCTTTAGATTACCCACAAAGGGTTGATAAACCATAAAATCAAATCAATGAATCTACTTCACTACCCATTGTGATGATGGAAATTTTATGTCTTTCTGCTGGTATTCTTCTCTTCTTCATCTTCTATGTGCTATGTCCCATCAGGACATAGGTGATCATGACTCT